ATCTACATAGTTTTTTGTGTGTATTAAATCCTTAATAAAAAAATTTTTAAAGCAATGGATTCTGCGCTTAACGAAAATCAAACCGTTGCAAGCAGAATCTCTGCTCTGTATGAGGATAAAAAATTTTAGGGGGCAAAATATTGAAGAGGGACAGATCCAACGTTGGAGGGGTGTAGTAACCGATCTGTCTAGGCAATTTGTGGAGAACGAGTGTATCCTCAAAGAGGCCTCTTCAACCCTAAAGAGAAACCCTTATTTTAAAGATAACCATGCAGAGCAAATTAGGGGATTTTTCAATAATACCTCAACTCTAATTTTGACCATGGAAATGGAAGCTAAAGCACTAAAAGATAGTTTGCAAGCAGCGGGAGTGATAGCCTCACGACCAGCACCTCAGCCACCTACATCTAGTCACACCTTAGGTTCAATCGCTACAGCTCCCATGATTTCAAAATCAGAACGGCAATTAAAGTTCGTTTTAGAAGATCTTAGCAAGACTATTGACAAATTTTTGGGAAATAAGATTCCAAAAGTCTTCCTTCTGGAAAGTGCCAAAGAAACTAAAATGATGTATCGCAATTATTTAGGAGAATGTGACGAGAATTGTTTAGAAGATTTATTTCTCAACGTAAGTTTTAAACTCGATGAGGCTTTGGACTTCGCTCCTGAAGATAAAAAAACGCAGAATGAAAATCTGCCCTACACACTGCCAAAAATAGATATTCCGGTATTCTCTGGAGACTATATTCAGTGGAACACGTTTAGAGAATTGTTTTCCCAATTAATAGGTTCAGCCAGTATCTCGGATACACAGAAAATGATTTGCTTGAAATCAAAGCTAAGAGGGGAAGCGGCAATGACGATCGCGAACCTACCAGCAAATGCAGAAAACTATCCAATTGCTTGGAACCTCTTGGATAATAAATATACCAACTTGAGAGCGCAAACTGCCATTCATTTTTCGAACATAATGGGGGCACCCTATACGACTGAAAATCTAGAAAGTGTAAAACGATTGAAAGAAGTGATTGAGGAAAATTTGCAAGCTCTAAAAGCAACAAAATTGAGTTCTGAAAGTATACTGCAAGGCCTTTTAAGTTTCATTTTAGTACGAAAAATGAGTAATGATTTAAGATTGAAGTATGAAACTTCACTTCAGAACTCACGAGAAATACCCATTGTTGACTCATTGGTGAAATTTTTAAATCATGAGTTTTATGCACTGCAAGCAGTACAAAAATCATCAAAAAAGGATGGGTCATCCAAATGGGATGACCATATTAAAGAATTGGCAAACAAAAAGGAAATCGAATGCATCATGGGATGTAATAATCGACATTTCCTTTTTCAATGCACAAAATTTAAAGACCTTACCATTAAAGAAAAATGGGAAAAGGTTAGAAAAAATAACTTATGCTCGAAATGTTTAAAAAATGGACATTCGAGTAAAAATTGCAATGGGTATAATTGTCGTATATGTAATGAAGGTCATAGCACATTCTTACACAAAGTTAGTAATGAAAAAGGTGCAGTGACAAAAAGTACCATTAAGCAAGGATGCGAAAATTCAGAAAAATGCATTTTGTTAGCTACAGCGGTTGTTTATATCCAAGATGCCAAAGGCAAATGGATCAAAGGCAGAGCGCTTCTTGATAGCGGATCTCAAGTAAATTTGATGTCAAAATCGTTCCTAAAGAAATTAAGACTTAAGGGCGAAGCAATTAAATCGGCAGCGATAGAAGGTGTTGGCAAAACACGTTCAAAAATTGAAGAACGGGTAAATATAAAAATTAAGTCCAGAATGCCTATGAGCAATTTCGAAACAAATCTAGACGTACTAATAGCGCAGGAATTAATGTCCAAATTGCCGGCAGAAGAAGCCATTATTAAAAAGATTCCAAATAACATTGAATTAGCTGATCCAAATTTTAATGTTCCTAAGGAAGTGGACATATTAATAGGTTACGAATTAACCTATGGGGATCTCTTTGAAGGAGAAAAAATTTCATTGAATGAAAATAATTTAATAGCCCACAAAACCAAATTGGGTTGGGTTATTACAGGAGCTGCAATGATTAATAGAGCCCCATACATTTGCAGTTTGGCCTCTTTTTCCGAGCCCACAATAGAAAACCAAATAAAACAGTTTTGGGAAATTGAGGAAGATATGGAAAAAGACAAAAAATTTTCAAAGGAGGAGGAAGACTGTCAAACTATTTTTACAAAAACCACAACCAGAAAAGTGGATGGGAAGTTCGGAGTAAACCTCCCCTTTAAAGGAGACATTGAACAATTAGGAAATTCAGAGATTACTGCTAAAAGAAGGTTCTTAGCTATGGAAAAGAAATTGGAGAAAAACTATGAAGTAAAGTCACAGTATCATGAATTTATGAAGGAGTATATAAAATTAAATCAAATGGAGGCTCTAGCCACTCCAAACCAACTTCAGTTCAAATGTTATTTACCTCATCATTATGTACTGAAGCCAGATAGCACTTCTACAAAATTGAGAGTAGTTTTTGATGCATCTGCAAAAACTACTACAAATATATCATTAAATAATTTATTACATACGGGGCCAAGGCTACAAGATGATTTATTTGATATTCTGATGCGTTTCAGAAAACACAAATTTGTAATATCAGCAGACATTGAGAAAATGTTCAGACAAATTTGGGTAAACGAAGAACATCAAAATTTCCAACTAATTTACTGGAGGTGGAAGCCATCGGAGGCTCTAAAGACATACAGATTAAAAACTGTTACTTATGGCACTGCGAGTGCACCTTACTTAGCAGTAAAATGTCTACAAACAGCAGCAGAAGATAATAAAGATAAATTTCCAACAGCTTCACAATGCATTCAGTCAGACTTTTATATGGACGATTTGATGACAGGTTGTGATAATCTAACTGAGCTAAAAAATATGCAGCAACAAATAATTCATATATTAAATTCATATGGATTCAAATTGAGAAAATGGTGTGCTAATCATCCGAGTTTGTTGAACGAAATTCCTAGCGAAGATCGAGAAATTAAATTAGATATAACATCTAATAAAGCTGAGAATATAAAAGCCCTAGGAATCGCTTGGAATCCAGCTAAAGATGACATCTCAATAAAATCTTATTTAGAAACTGACTACAAAATTACAAAGCGCCAAATACTTTCTGATATTGCGAAACTATTTGATCCTTTAGGTCTTTTGAGTCCAGTTGTAGTGGTGGCAAAATTGATACTACAACAAATATGGAAAGAAAAAATCGACTGGGATCAAGCCGTTACAGGAGATCCTGGGTACATTTAAGAAATCAAATGAAATTATTGAATGAAATAAATCTTCCCAGATACGCATTATTACCTGATGCAAAAGAAATAGAATTACACGGATACTCAGATGCATCCATGAGAGCCTATGGCGCTGTGGTATATGTAAAATCAGTAGACAAATCGGGAAATATTAAAATAAATCTATTAGCTTCCAAATCGAAAGTCGCCCCATTAAAAATTCAGACGTTACCTCGATTAGAACTATGTGCTGCGGTACTGTTAGTAAAATTAATGGAAAAAGTATCAAAAGCACTTAATCTAAAAGACAAGCATATTTATTATAAGGATTCAACAATCGTCCTTAGTTGGCTACAATTAGATCCTGCAAAATTGCAAATATTTGTGTCGAATAGGGTAAACTTTATTCAGGTGCAAACCAAAGGGCGGCAATGGAGACATATTGACACAAAATCAAACCCAGCTGATTTAATAACAAGAGAGTTATATCCAGAAGAAATAATTAATAATAGTCTGTGGTTTAATGGACCAATGCACTTAGCTAACATGGAGTCATACAGAAAATCACAAAGCCTTTAACATCGCTTCCAGATATAAAGAAAACTGCTATAACAGCAGGTGTTTTGGTAAGGAATTGCTCTTTAATGGATTCAATTGACCACAAAAATAATTTTGAATTCTTATTAAATGTGGTTGCTTTGCTTATCAAATTTAAAGATATTACATTAAAGCGTCCTAAGAAAGAACTCGAAATTCAGAATCACTTATATTATCGAAAAGAAGCTTTGAATTTTATTTTGAAATATATACAAACTAAATATTTTAACAAAGAACTAAGTCTCCTTTCAGGTAACAAAAATGTAGAAAAGAGCTCGAAGCTGATAACTCTATCACCATTTTTGGACAAAAATGGCACCATTAGAGTTAGAGGACGTCTACAAGAAGGCAATATTCCAGAAGAAGCAAAACATCCTGCAGTACTTCCATATGAAGACACTTTAGTTAAAATTTTGGTGGAGGGAATCCATCAAAAACATTTACATATAGGACCGCAAGGCCTTCTCGCAATAGTTAGGCAGAAGTTTTGGCCTTTAAGGGGCAGGCAACTCACAAAAAGAATTGTTAACAATTGCTATAGATGCTTCAGGGCAAATCCTCGTCCCCTTTTTCAAATCATGGGTAATTTACCAGCAGATAGAGTAAGATGCACCAGGCCCTTCTTGAATACTGGGGTTGATTTCTTGGGTCCTATACAAATTCACCACAAAATAAGAGGCAATCGAGTAGATAAAGCCTATGTGTGTGTATTTGTGTGTTTCAGCACAAAGGCAGTTCACCTAGAAGTGGTATCAGGTCTAAGCTCAGCAGCTTTTATAGGAGCCTTAAAAAGATTTGTGGGAAAACGTGGTTGTCCTGCAAAAATATACTCCGACAACGGAACAAATTTCATTGGGGCAGCAAATAGTTTACATGAAATTTATATATTATTTCAAAAGGAGCAACTCGGAAAAGAAGTCTCCTCGTTCTGTGCTGTACACAGCATTAATTGGGTGAATATACCAGCTCGATCTCCACACGTAGGAGGGTTATGGGAAGCTGCTGTTAAATCGGTTAAGAAGCATTTTCACAGAGTAGTTGAAGGCACATTGACCTTTGAAGAGATGTGCACACTCATGACCCAGATAGAAGCAGTATTGAATTCACGACCTCTAACACCATTATCGGAGGATCCGAATGACTTCCAGGTTTTAACTCCAAGTCATTTTCTTATAGGGGAGACTTTAACCACACTTGCAGACAGTAGTGAAAACCATTGTTATCACGGGGTGCGGGACCACTGGAAAGCAGTGGAAAGAAATTCAAAGGAATTTTGGAAGCGCTGGTCACTGGAGTACCTAAGCGAACTTCAGAAAAGAGTCAAGTGGCAAAGGCCACAAGATAACTTACCCCAAGGGAGTTTAGTTCTCCTTAAGGAAGAAAATCTTCCAACAATGACTTGGAGAAGGGGCAGGGTTGAGAACCTCATCATCGGAAAAGATGGAAAATGCAGGATGGTAGACGTAAGGACCAGCACTGGAATGACAAAAAGATCAATAACCAATGTTTGTCCTTTTCCTACGGAAACGGAAAGAAATATAAGTAAAAATGAGGAATCCCATAAGAATAGGAATGTAAGGCATAAAAATAAAAATGTTCTAATGACGATGTTAACCTTTTTATTAGTACTACCACTCTACAATTGTCAAGTAATTATAGAAAAATTTAGGGACAAGTCAGGGATATTAATAGAGAGGCAAGACAGTTTGGGTTTGACGAAGACATCATGGGAAATAATCATCCACGTGAACATGACGGATTATCAGCACCAAATACAGCTTCTAATGGGAACACCCTCGGCTCTACAAAAACTCGCCAAGCTACTGGACAAGGGAGACTCAGAATCTCAAAAGGTAGTTGAGACCTTAGTTAATCAGGTCATTCATCGCATTAAAGAAGTCAACCAAAAGGATGCACTGATGAGATTTAATGGAAGAAATAGAGCATCTAGGTCTATACTGCCATTCGTTGGAAGCGTGTATCATTCAGTGTTTGGTCTAATGGATGAAGAACACGCAGATGAATTGGTGGCGACAATAAAAAGGACCCATAAAAATGAAGAATACTTGCTTAAGCTATACCAGAATCAATCCTCCATTGAATTCATAACGCAAGAGGTTTTGAAGAAACAAAATGAAGTTGTTCGAAATAATTTTAACCAAATATCGGACTCCATACAAATAATAAAGAAAGCGGCTGAAAATGAATTAGCAATGGGAGGCTTTCAAAACTATATAGCAAGCATTAACATTGCAATAGAGTCAATAGAGCAACTGCAAGGAGATATTACGGATTTGATTTGGAACTCAAAGGGAAATTTCATGAAAAGGATTTTACCTATCGACAGATTCCAAACCCAAATAGCAACAATTACGGCAAATTTAAGATACCGACCCGTTTGAGCTATCAAAAATATCACGGGTCACAGCCACTATAAACCAAGGCTTCTGTTTAGTGCGAATTCAAATACCACTTATACAAAGCCAACAGCTACAGTTATTTGCATTGACCAGTTATCCGATTCTGCACGACGGCTACTTCGTGAGCTTTAAACTCGCATATGAATATCTGGTAGTAAATAAGGAGAAATCAATGTATAGTAGCCTGACAGAAACTAAATATTCGTATTGCCAGAAAATGAGAAGAATCACGCTCTGTCCCCAAATTGGACCACTCTACAATGTAAGAAAGGACCAGTCGTGCGAACTAGAGCTATTCTTTAATTCGAAGCAATTACCATTATCATGTGTGGTGAATATAATGCCTCTGCAAGAAGTTTGGTTGCAGCTTAAATCCTCAAATAGCTGGCTGTACTCCGTCCCTGAAGACACAAAGGCAGAAGTCAGTTGCGGCAGCTCTTATACGGCACATATTTTAGTTGAGCAAGGCATTGTAAAACTGCAACCTGGCTGCCACTTAACAACCGCGATAGTAAGCGTTTGGGCACACAAGGCACCAACCACTGTTATTCAGTACAATATGCCCCCAATTAATATGAGCAGGAGTTTACCGCTCATGAAGCACATTACTAT